ATGACTGCTGAGGCTTTACAACAAAGAATTGAAATGGTATTACTTATACGACATGAGATCTATGGAGTATACTTAGTTTTTAATTAATTCTTGATGCTCATAATCATGTTTTATTCATTACAGCAGGAAAATAAATTAGAGTCTTCTAACGAAGTATCTGATGTACTATTGAGTAGTAATGGAACTTCGGAACCTTCAGGTGGAAACCAAATGTTATTGAATAACAGTGTTGATCGTTTAAATAAAAGATTGCGTTTCTTGAGATCACCGCCTATTAAAAAGCGTAAATTAAAACAAAAACGTTTTTCTGAGGAGAAAGTTAAAAAAAATTACTGAGACAATCAAAAAGAAAGTTTTTCATGTAAACATCGATGATCCAGATGTTGTTGATGAAGATAAGAATGATGTAGCAATTTTAAGAACCTTACAAAAAAGTTTTAACGCCAGTACAAACCGATGTCATGAAATAAAAATTTTGGTCTTATCAAAAAATCCAGGTCAACTTTCCCACAGCTACTTGCCATGTGATAAATACTGCAAAAATATTGTTAAAGGTGAAGGAATATGAGGCAATCCAAGTCCCAAAAGCCATCCATCTTTAAGAGTGGATGTTATTAACAGTATAATTAACTTCGATCAGTCTGATGAACACACACAAATTATGCCCGTTAACAAATATTTCATCTCCGTGATAGTGGATGGTTACAAAATACAGATGCAAAAACGGCTGATTTTGAGTAATTGAAAAAAATTTTAGAACTATATAAAAAAGAGTATCCGACAACTAAGTATAGTTTTTCAAAGTTTGCTGGCATACGACCAGAACATTGTATACTGGAACCAGTGGCTGTGTCTGATACATGAAAATATTAAACTCATCATAGTTGGAGCAAATTTGAAATGTATTACAGTTGACTCCAAGTGACCAGTATCTAATTATCATGATAGTCAAGATCGTATAACGCGTGATATTCAATCTACTAATTCTTTTGGGATCATGCGATGATTGTCCCGTTGTAGATAATGTTATTGAAGGATTACAACAAAATTTTGATAAAACATTCATTAAAAATGTGCAGTACGAACAGTGGGTGACAATAAATAGAACTTCACTACAAACTTTCAAATCTAGTGTAGATAAATTTTCACAACTTTTAAGCAATGGCTTGAAAAAATTGCTGATTCATTCTTTTTTTGTCCAAAAAAAATGGAATTCTTGGACTTGGAAAAAAAAACTAATGAAAAATAAATGTATTGTTATATGTAATTTTAGCGAAAATTATGCATTTGTTTTACAAAATTCCATACAATGTGTGCACTGGAATAATGATCAAGCAACTGTACATCTATTCTCAATTTACTATTAAGATAAAAAAGATGACTTCAATGTAAAAAGTTTTGTTTACATTTTTGAATGCTTGCATTACAACACAGTTGCTGTTTATCTTTTTCATAAACAACTTGTAGAATTTATTGAGACGAATTTAAAAGGTGTTGATAAATTATTATATTTTTTGGACGAAGCAAGCGCACAGTACAAAAGCGAAAAAAACTTTATTAATCTTACACATCATGTAAAAGATTTTGGAATATTTGCTGAATGGCATTTTTTTACTACGTCTCATGGCAAGGGACCATGCGGTGGAATTGGTGGGACGTTAAAACGACTTGCTGCCAGAGTTAGTCTTACAAGGATAAATAATCCTATTCAAACACCTAGCGAATTATTCACTTGGGCAGTAGAAGCTTTGCAAAGTATAACGTGTCGTTATTCAACTAATGATAAGTAGAATAAGGAAGAACAAATATTGTCAGAACGATTTCAAAAGCTTGAACAATAAAAGGCACTTCACAATTCCGTTGCATAATACCGATCTCTCTTCAGAGACCAAAAGCAAAAATATTTTATTAAATGATAAAACAACAATTGTAACAATCTTTAAATAGACATTAAGTTGATTATATGTCATGTTTCAAGATATATATAAAAATGTTTTCTTATTTACTAACATGTTATTATTTCGATAACCATTATTGTTATTGAGAGAAAAGATGTATAGTTAGGAGGAGAGGCGTGAAAAAGGTGCTCGTGTGCCGCGCGCCGATACTACGTGCCATGCCACGCTACATAAATTAATGTATCTCTCCCATAAATAGTAACCCCTCTATTAATTAAAAATATGTTTTTTTTAGAATAATTGACCTAGAATACGATGGTTGTATTAAATAATCGTTAAATTTTCAGGACCATAGTTAAAAATCGATTTTATGATTTAAATTGTTAATAATAATATATAATT